TATACAAAGATCGAGCAAGTGCCTTATCTTCATTTGAAAGCAGATTATCTAGTTTTGTGTCATCCCACCTTCTACTTGATCCACAAATTTGAAAGAGCTCAGACACCAAAACATTACTTTCCCCGTTTATCGGAATGGCTGGTCTTGGCGGATTAGTCGGCAGCCAATTATCTGTAAAAATACGTGTGTCGCACCCATCACCAATGATTGAACGAGATCCATGTTTTAACAACTCTATACCCGCCAGAAGAGATGTCCAACCATAAGAATGATAGGGTCGTGGTTTAGCATCAAACAGGTGAAAGTCCTTGAAGTATCTCGCCTTATACAGTCTTGAAAACAAACATGTAGGTTTTGTGAGTAGCCGCCATGCTTGTTTCGCTAGAAGCGTGATTCACACTGGATGTACTCCTAGTTTCTACTGCAATAGAACAGTGATGTAGTTGTAATATAAAGGATTCAGAATCCAGATGACCAGTGTTACTCTATGACTTTGCGAGGATTGAATTAAAGCTAAGATGAAAGATGTTTTGTTGCGAAAACTAAAAAGTAAACAGAATGGCAAACAACGATTTAAATTCGAACTAAAACAAGCACTAGATCAAGGTAATTCGCAGGAGTTTCAGAGATGAGAATCAAATGACTATTCAGGGCACAACTTAAATACAGGTCTCGAACTCAAACATAAAAGCTTATCGATCCACTGTCGTGATCTCGATAACTTTATCTAACAACCTAAATTCTAAACTGTCGTTTGAACTTAGAAAATTGCAGACAAGCATTAACAAGCAGGTTTGATCTGTTCACGATTTGCCTTAACTTCAACTGTCGTTGGCTAAGGACAAATCGCTCACCAGTGTTCGTTCTAGCAACCTATTACACTTTTGATGAATAGATTAACCTAAGATCGTAAATTGAATGGCCAGTTCAACCTAAGCGTTAAGTCTAACAAAGGTGAAGACAATCGATTATAGACCCTATTTGCATCCAATTCTTTAACTCATGAAATCCTTTGAAAACCTTAATCTAGCTAAGAGATCTACTCAGACATGGAGGAAAGAAACACGGCAACAGATGAAAAGGAATTCATGAATTAAAATCGCAGAAGAGATAATAGGGTTCAGAATTCTTCTCAAAGTGTAGCAGATTTCTTCTCCCAAAAGCTTACAAGTAAAAACTCTCTGGTTCAGGAAATTGTAAAAAGAAAGCGTAGAAAGTCTGTAGAAAAAAGGTGATAATAAAACACAGGCGGCTCTGGGCTTTTTATTCCATCTCACGCGACTTAGGATTAGGTAAAATCGTTTTCCTTATTTTTCTCCCGTCTGGAGCAGGTGCTCCACGAAGGGTCCAAACCGGGAGCAGATGCTCCGCGGATGATTTCTCCAAAAGCGTGTGAAATAGCTTCTTATTGCTCAAATTCATCTCCTTTTGCTCCAATGCTTCCTAAACACTCCAATCCTCTGATAAGGCCTCTAAGTCACCTGAAACTTTCCTGAAAAGACTACAAAAACTCCTAAAACAATTAGTAAACACAGGTTAGAATGAGTCAAAATCTCCACTCATCAAAGCGCATCATTAAACTTCGTTAACTCTCGGAAACCTAATCCACCATCTTTTTTGGCATACTGTAATCTTTTCTAAGCCACCCATGGGATCCCCCAATTTTGTGAATCTTTTTCCCACCAGAATCTCATAAGTACTTTTTCAATGTCCGAAGTAACTTGTTGTGGCAATTTAATGCAGGACATAGAATACACAGGCATTGAGATAGCCACTGATTTTAGAAGTACTTCCTTTCCAGCTGGTGAAAGAAAACTAGCACTCCAATGCGCAGTTTTCTCCTTGACCCTATTGACAACATTGTTGAACATATCACTTTTTTTTCGCCCAAACTGTTCTGGTAGTCCAAGGTACTTTCCACCTCCTCCATGATTGGCAATTCCCAGAATTCTTTTCAAACGTTCTTGCTTATCCCCATGAACCCGAGAGCCAAAGGTGATCATTGATTTTTCCTGATTTATTTTCTGCCCTGAGCATTGTTCGTAGACTTCAAAAACTTGCTTTAACGCTGTGCAGTTTTTCGAATTAGCTATGCAGAAGAAAAGTGAGTCATCCGCGAAGAAAAGATGAGTGATTGAAGGCACCCCATTACCACACTTAATGCCATTAATTTTTGACATCTATCAAATGGCTTAGTACATCAGCGCAAAGAATGAATAGATAAGGGGACAATGGGTCACCTTGACGTAGACCTCTTTGTGGTGTGATATGGCCTTGGGGATTACCATTAATCAACACGGAATAAGAAACAGAACTAACTAGTTTCATAATCCAACCAATCCACATCTCCGATAAACCAAAAGCGTGAAGTGTTTTTTCCAGGAAGTCCCATTCTACTCGATCATAAGCTTTGCTTATATCAGTTTTAACCGCCATATATGTTTGCGATACACGTTTTCTGCTTTTAAGAGAGTGCATCAATTCATGGGCGATGAGTACGTTATCAGTGATCAAACATCCCGGAATAAAAGCAGCTTGGATTCCGAAACTATCTGGTCTAGGGATGATTTTAGACGTCTAACCATAACCTTTGAGATGATTTTATAAAGAACATTGCAAAGAGCAATGTGTCTATAATCCGATAAGGTATTTGGCTTTTCGACTTTTGGAATCATACAGATATTTGTATGATTTATTCCCCGCTGAAAAGTAGATGTCTGGAAAAAGGTCTTAACTTCACGAGTCACATCATTCCCAACAACTTCCCAGCATTGTTGATAAAACGAGCTGTTAAACCGTCTGGTCCCGGAGCTTTATCCGCACCTATACTGCAGACAGCTTCGTAAATCTCCTCAGTCGTCACTTCCTTAGTTATATGGCTGTTTATTTCATCTGTCACTGAAGGTTTAAATTCAGAGAATATGCTCAGGAGAAATGGTTTGTCTTCACTTTTGTATACTTTATGAAAGTATTCTTGAGCATGTATTCCAACTTCATAATCTCCACGATAGCATCGTTCTGCACTATCTTTGATAGAATGAATACGATTCCTTAAAAATCTGGATTTTGTGCAGGCTCAATAAAACTGTGTGTTGCGATCGCCAGCCGTCAGCCATGAAACTCTACTCTTAAGCTGCCAATATATTTCTTCGTCTCTGTAAGCTTTAACCAAGTCCCGTTGAAGTCGAGGAATATATTCACGATTTGATCCTCAGGAAAGTTGAGCAAGTTCCAGTGCCAATTGCAATTCATCGATTCGTTTAGCTGGGTTTAACTTTGAAACTCGTCGACATTCCGCCATAGCCTTACGGCACTCCAGTATTCTATCTTGATTTGGCGGTTGGTTGACTAGTTGTGGAGAGTTCCAGCCAATTTTAACATATTCTTTGAAATCCTTAATCTGCAAAGCCGTTTATCAAACCTGAATTGTTTTTTTGGGTGCTCGTCGACAAATGAAATTTTAATAAGAACGGGACGATGGTATGAACCATAGAGACGTAAAAACTCAGCTTCAGATGCAGGAAATTTAGCCAACCATTCTGAGTTAGTGATAACTCGATCAAGACAGCATTGAACAAGGTGATTTCCCCTCTTTCCCACCCAGGAGAATCGATTGCCTCTATATCGAAGGTCCTTCAAATCACATGAACTGTACATATTTCAGAAATCCTGGAAACTTCGTTCATCCCGAGTTGGACCGCCATTCTTTTCCTCATTAGACAAAATTTCATTAAAATCTCCAATGAGGAGCCAAGGTCCACTTCTAGATTGGTTGATTCTTTCAATCCTTTCCCACAGTTCATAGCGATTTGATGGATTTGGGTCCCCATAAACACACGACAAGTAATAATCTATGCCATTGAATTCGACATAGACATCTACTATTCTTGCAGACTGATACAACTTAGATAGTACATGTTTTTCCAGAAAAAAGCAATTCCTCCACTTCTACCTATAGGAGGAATCGATATTACATAATCAAAGCCTAGAGAAACACATACATCCCTAACAACATTACAATTATTAAGAGTTTCTACTAGGAATAATAAGTCGGGTGAATACAAAGGCTTGAATTCCTTCAATCTTTCTTCAGTTAGTTGTGCTTGTAAACCCCGACAGTTCCAGGATATGACTCTCATAGTGACAGTGGGGGTACCGGACCCCCGCGCCTCTGTCTATTGGAGAGGCTGCAGTGCAGGAACCAGATGATTCACATGGTTCCTCTTTAGGCGGACACAGGACCATCCGCTCTGCAACAACAGGAACAGGAGTGTCATTAATAACAATTGACACCTTCCTCTTCTTACGCATCTTCATCTATTCATCCTGGTTTTCAAAGTTGTGAAACTCCATAAACTCTTCTTCAGTGCATTTGCCTTTGGTCATCCTAAGTTGTTGGTATTCTGCCTCCTCAACTTGTTGACGGAAATTGTCCAAACCGGCAGACATATCTGACATTTGTAAACCATTACCATGAGAGAAAATAGAGCTAGTGATACCTGGAATCACTACATTCATATCGGCATAGATGTCTGAAGTGTTGACATCAGAGAAACCATCTTCGTGGTGAGGTTGAGTTTCTTCAAAGAATGCTCTTTTCCGCTTTCCAGATTGTGGTGGTGAACCAGATGCCTTGTAAACCATTTTTTCAGTAGTCAAATTTGTGTCTATCTCCACCGAGGAACTCAAAGGGATGTCTTGATTGATTGAAGAAGGTCCAGTAATCGTATCTTCAATCGTAATATCGGCGGGATCAAAAGGGCTCTGATTCTGATCTTCATCGTCATCATCATGGCCATCATCGTCATCGTTGTTATCATCCTGAGCATTGGCACCCATCTCCAAAGGGCATTCCTTTTTCTCATGCGTCAACATCCCACAAGACACACATAAGTTCCGAAGTCTCTATAGTGGAGACGAAGAACTGTATTCTGACCCGGCGCAAATTGAAAGGTCTTCTGAAATTTAAGAGGCTCATCGATATTCCAATTAAGCTGGACTCAAACACAGTCTGTGAGATTGACATCTTCATTGAAATCTGTATCAACCATCTGCCCGATTTTATCTCCAATGAAGTCAACCGTCTCGCGATTGAGGAATTGTGCCGGAATCCCTCTAATCTGGATCCAGAAAGTGATTGTTTTTAATTCCTCGTCAGAGATGTTGGGGAACCAACGCCGAGTAACCAGCATCCACTCGCTGAAGGACCAAGGCCCACGCTGGAGAACCATCTGAACCGCCTCTTCGGACTTGAATACAAACTGAAAAGTTGACGGAGAGATAACACGCCTAACCACTTGAGATCCCAAACCCCAAAGTCGGGGCATCTGATTAATTAGGGCTCGCATATTGTGTTTACGCGGATTAACCAGAACCCCAATTATCACATAGCGATTCGCCTCAGCCGCCTGAATACACATCGCCTGAGGGAGAGCAATTGGTGCATCATCCGCTCCGAGATTGATTTCTTGAAATTTTTGGTGGATAGAAGACATAGTGATTTATGATTTGCAGGGAAGAGAAAAAGAAAGAGTAAGAGGGAAAGAACAATTTATAGAAGTAAGAATCCATGGCGGTTTATCAATTTCGAAGTAACTGAAAAAGAAACCGCTAAAGAATTGTCTCAACGGACAAAAGCCGGCAGGAAAACCGCTTGTAACCGCCGAACAAGAAGAAAACGAGAAGAAAAAATAACTGTCGGCAAAATCGCCTTTTTGATCGCCTAGAGAGAGAAGAACCATTTTTATTTGAGTTTTTCTTACCAATTACATTATAAAAACTTGACCAAATATTAAAATTTTAAACCGAAATCAAACTGAATCACCTAATTTATGTTCAATTTGGCTTTTTGGTTACTGTCTTTTTTGTTCGCCTCTTAAAGAAACATATAACCAAAGTATTTTTTGTTGTTGATTAAAATCAACATATTCAGAGATCGACTCGGTTGCTGCATACTTGATAGGAAATAATCTTCATTTTTTTACATTTAGAAGATGAAATTGTAAGAATCCTCTTTCTCAACGTCAACAGTATGTATTTGCAGAAATAACGACCTGAGCAATCATTCGGCGATGGAATTCTGGAGAAGGAAAAAGGCGAAGGGCAAGGCGAGAGAGTACTTCCTCGAAAATGGAAGCAAATTTCTTCAGGAACTCATCACCGACTGTAACGGCATATCAAACCCTATCTGAATGTTCTCTTACGATCATATCATCAAGTCCACAAATTATTTCCATGATATCAATCCCTATTTCTTCCCCATATAAGTTTTGGTCACATGGATGCACGATTGTTGCCTTGGAATGTTTGATTGAAGATTGCCAAAGAGGTTGCGATCGCTATCACTTATCTTCACACAGCTTTCCCTAGGATCATTGTACACAGACTTATCAATCAAGAGAGTGTTATGTTGGATAAGAATTGGACGGCTAAGCTGACTGATTTCTAGCGTTCCATAACACTTCCTGAGGGCAAGACGTGTAGAAAGTAAATTTAGAAGAGACAAATATTGCAATGTAAAAAAACGATTCAAAACACGGAAAAATGTTTTATAAAAGCGGATTAAGAAAAAACGAAAAGTGGAGGGGAGATGATATCTTTCCTTAATTCAAAATATCTCCCGCAGTGTAGCGGTTAGATGAGATAATAAATCTCAGGATACAACCACTGATATTCGTATAATCGCAACATTCGATTATAGAATGTGACAAACTAAAATTCTACGATATACTTTCGAACGCTTACTTTTGAAAGAAGAAAGGAGATGCAAGAGATTGAAGGATGTGTGAAATTTGTGAGCAGAGAGCGATTGAAAAATGAGAGAGGAGAAGTCGATATATATAGCGAAAGAGATAGGAGCGTCACACTTAATCAGTGTGTTAAGGACGTGATTAATTGTGCGCTAATGACGCGATTTGGGCGTTTATCTTGGCATAATTTTTGGGATAGACATTTGACTGCAGTTTAATGTTGTGATTCTATAGGAATTTGAACAAAAAATTTTAACAATTTGGGCCAGAAATATTGACCAAAACGTGGCCCAAAAAGAACATCTTTTGTGGGCCTTCGGCCCAAATTCACCAAGACCCAAGACCCAAGACTCAAGACCCAAGACCCAAGAACCAAGACCCAATACCCAAGACCCAAGATCCAAGCCCAGCTCGGCTCGGCTCGGCGGCGGCGGCGGTGTGCGAGGGGTCCTTCGTTCTCCTTCAACACTTTGAACAATGTCATGTGTATGTCTATATTGATATGACTCTTATTTTTCTGAATCCTTGGATGTGGGAATTTTAGTTATTCCTCATATTTTTAACTAGCCTTAAAAGGCTTATTTTTATTCACACTTCTCCAAATGTAAAAGCTTTTGGGCTTTGTAAATATTTGGTCCAACAATTTCCCACATAAATAGAAATAACTCTAGACATACGACCGGACTGACTCGAAAACTTGACTAGACTAGACTAGACGGATTTTCGAGAGTATATACGAAAAATTCTACTGTGTTTGAGATAGTAGTATGTTTCAACCTTGAACCAATCTATGTTAATATCTGTCGCGCTTACTCAGCCAGGAGGTGAACATGATGTCTTGAACCACCCGGATTTTGATGTAAACCGAGACAACAAATACAACTCAGTTTCATTTTCTCATAACTAAGTTCTCTATTGTATTCATTTTGGCCTTGAACTTGCCTGGTGAATCATGAGTGAAGTTGGAGAATATATGCTTTTGTTTTTTCATTCTCCTAGAAACGGACCCATTTCACACTCACTATGTGATTTTGCCAATTGTCTTTGTTTTAAGAAGTGTTGTACTTCACTGATATATCAAAGCTATGGACTTATCATTAAAAGCTATGCTTATCTTTTGTAGATATACAATGAAAATTGTATATAAGCACTGTCAATCATCTTGAGACCTAGGTTATGACTATACGTCTTTCAATGCGTTAGATTTTGTTTGATTTAGTTTTCCCTTTTGAACCTTACATCTTGGGATCTCCACTCATGTAGGTGGGGTGTCCATCAAACAACCTCTTTAGTGATAGGCTCCCTTTGATGATTTGAGAACTTGATCACGAGTTAGACCCTTAGTAAATGGATCTGCTAGATTATCGGCTGATTTTATGTAATCGAGTGAGATTACTCAGGTTGTGATCAAGCTTCTAATGGTTTTATGTCGCCTTCTTATGTGACGAGATTTACCATTATAGAGATTATTCAGTGCCCGGGCGATAGCTGACTGACTATCACAGTGTACACGTATTGCCTGGACTGGTTTCTCCCACATTGGAATATCTTCCAAGAAATTTCGGAGCCATTCAGCTTCTTCTGCAACTTTATCTAAAGCTATAAATTTAGACTCCATGGTTGATCGGGCCAGTCGAGTTTGTTTGGAAGACTTCCAAGAGACTACTGCACCACCAAGGGTAAAAACATATCCACTTGTGGATTTCGAGTTTTTGGTGTCAGATATCCAGTTTGCATCACTGTATTCTTCCAAAACTGCTGGTTCTCTTCCATAGTGCAGCCCATAACTTTTTGTGTATCAAATGTAATTTAATACTCTAGTTATGGCTTTCCAGTGTTTTTGTGTCCTAGATTACTTGTATAGCGACTTAGTACATTTACCGTGTGCTAGATCAGGTATAGTACAATTAGTTAAGTACATAAGGCTACCAATTATCCATGCATACTCTACTTGGGACACTGCTTCACCTGAGTTTTTGGTCAAAGTGAAGTTGAGAGTCAACAGGAGTTTTTGCAGTTTCATTTGAATAGGTTTTGAACAGTGCAAGTATCTTTTCAGCATAATGAGCTTGAGACAAGGTAATCCCATCAGAAATTCTTGTGATTTGTACCCCGAGAATGACATCTGCTAGATCCATGTCTTTCATGTCAAACTGTGCACTAAGCATGTTCTTAGTTTGTTGGATTATGTCATTGTTGCTGCCAATAATTAACATGTCATCTACATATAAACATAGTAAGATATATCCATTAGGGGTCGTTTTTATGTAAATGCATCTATCACATTCGTTAATGCTGAAGCCATCTGACATCATTGCATTGTCGAATTTTTCATCGGGAGTGGACATAGCTTCAGTAAATGTTCTTGGTTTGTTCTCGGTGAGAAAGACCATCAAGAATTCAGGACCGAAGGATTTTTCTTTACGAGCTCTTTTGCTGCGTCTAGGTTCAATCTCTTCATCTTCTGAAGCAGGAACCCCAGATGTGGTTGCCTCATCTTCCCGAGGACGTTTTAGATTTTGTCTATCCTTGCCCGAGAAAATGTGTTAAAAAAAGAAACATTTCTTGATTCCATTATTGTATTCACCTTAATATCCGGTACATCTGATTTGTGAACCAGAAACCGATAAACACTACTGTTGCATGCATATCCAATAAAAATACAATCAACAGTTTTTGGTCTTATGGTGACCTTTTTAGGAGGTGGCACAGTGACCTTTGCTAGGCACCCCCACACTTTCAGCTATTTGTACGAAAGTACTCTACCTGTCTATAGTTCATATGGCGTTTTGCCAGTTATTTCGTTGAGGATATAGTTTGTAGTGAGAATTGCTTCCCCCCCCCCCACAGATTCTGGGGTAACCCAGATTCCTGCAATATTGCATTCATCATCTCTTCAAGAGTTTGATTTTTGCGTTCCACAACTCCATTAGATTCTGGTGAGTAAGGAGCGGTGGTCTGATGTATAATGCCTTTTTCTAGACAAAAAACATTGAATGGACCATCATATTCGCCTCCTCTATCACTCCTAACAATTTTAATAGTTTTACTGAGTTGACTTTCAACTTCGGTTTTATATTCTTTGAATTTCGCCAAGACTTCATCTTTACTTCTTAGTAAATAGATGTAACAGTATCTTGTACAGTCATCAATGAAAGTTACAAAATAATTTTTACCTCCTCTAGATTGTACTAACTTTAAGTCGCACAAATCTGTGTGTATGAGGCCTAGAGGTTTGGTAGTTCGATCGACATGAGGAGATAGAGTTTTTGTGAGTTTTGCTTGTACACATATCTCACATTTTTTTAATTATTATTTTGCATTTGGGGATTAAGTTCGAATTTATTAATCTTTGTATAGATTTATAATTCACATGTCCTAATCGTTCATGCCATAAATCAAAAGACTCAACCAAGTAAGAAGATTCATTCTTATTAATTGAACTGGTAGAAGGTACATCATTTTTGAGGACAGTCATTACACACATTTTGATTAAGTCCTCTTTAACATAACCATTCCCAATAAAAACTCCATGTTTCCTTAAAATCAGCTGGTTAGACCCAATGCGGACGTCGAATCCGTGCTTGTTGATCATGGTTCCAGAGATCAGGTTTTTCCTCATTTTTGGCATATGCTACACATTGGTGATGGTGACTTCTTTGCCCGAAGTCATCTTTAAGACCACATTGCCTATGCCTTCAATCTTGGAGTAGGACTCATTTCCCATCAACAAGTGCACATTGTTC